CATTTTTAATGCTCTTTGTTTTTTAGAACCTTCTTTGAAAATGTCATAACTCCAGTTGTTAATTTAAAAAAATCATTTTTCATTGTACTTCCTACTGTGAAAATGGAGTCTGATACATTTTTATCTGGGGAAGTAGAAATACTTGACCTATTTTTCAATTTCCCTGTAAATTGAGATTCAGCTCTCAAAGTCAATTTAATTTTTGATGGGGATGTTTTCTATGAAGGTAAAGTTAAATTACTGGAAGGAAGGGGAGCAAATTTTCTGAATTATTTTAGAAGGCTTGAACAAATAAAATACAGATGCAAGAAATATGTGAACCACAGTAGTGTTCAGAAAAAATGAGCACATATTGGTGATATGACAAGTTAATAATGATGATAAATAATGACAGTGACCATTTATTGACAGCTTATTGTTTTTATGCATCTATGGATTTTATATCCATTCATTCTGGAGCTTTATTTAGTTCTATGAAAGGAATCTGTGTATTGCCGCTCAGATTCTTAGAAGTGGACTCAATATTATGGACTAGGTAGGCTGATTTAGATTTCAACCTTTGTCACTATATGCCCCCACTCACATTGTTCATTGTGAAATGTGCATCCTTACTGGACCTGCTTTCCACTCTCTCTTTCTAAGTGGCGAACAATGATGTAGAGTGAAAAGAACATGGATGTTGCCTTTAGATTTTGATTGTAAATCCTAAAGGCATACATAATTTAGGTTGCATTCCTTAGCCTTAGTTGATCCTCATTTCTAATATGAAGATAGTATCTGGTTGTTGTAAGGATTGCATCAGATGTATCTAACTGCCAGATTCTCACCAAATGTTTGTTTCCTTTCCTCTTTCTCCACTCTATGTCCCCTTTTGTCCCCTCTTTTTCCCCTCTACAATAAACCTGTAATCTTTGTCATAGAAATTTCATTGCTTTCCATATGTGTGGTCAGTCTTAACTTTTCTGATTTTATCGATCTGTTTATCCTTCTGTTGTTCTACCTAATTTTTTGTAAAACTCTTTCCACCTAACTCAGTTGCTCACCAGGTAAACACCTATTTCCACCTCTATTTCAGTTCCTCTAGGTTTTTGGCCGCAGTGCAAAGCCCACCAATTTTGTCCCAGTTTCTAGATGAAATGCTGAGCTTACAAATGTGCTGTGTCTCCAAATTAGTTTCTAATTTAGCTTGAAATTTTAATTCCATTTTTTAATTAATAATAGAAGCAATGTTATAATGGTGGTCTTGCCTCCAGGCCAAAAGCATGTTTAAGTCATAAATTAATTAAAATTCATTATACTTGTACCAAAATAAAAGAAAATAATAAAATGAAAAAATATTCAGTAGGAAGTAGCAATGTACCTTGAACATCATAGAATGTAATTGATGGAAATTCTACAAAGAGCTTACAAGTGCTTTAAGGATTGCAGTGTTTTAATATTATGGTTAATTTTTTTTTTTTTTTTGCGATGGAGTCTCGCTCTGTCGCCCTGGTTAGAGTGCAGTGGCATCATTGTAACTCAGGCTGGTCTTGAACTCTTGAGCTCTAGGATTACAGGCGTGAGCCACTGTGTCGGCCTAATACTATGGTTAATTTATAAAAACCCATTCTATTACAGAAGATCACTGTGAGAATGCTCACTTATTAGCTATAGTTTTTGTTTAGGATCACAAATGGAATGAAGAGTGAATAAGGCATTTTCCATTGGATAAACCCATCTCCTATCCCCCCAAATCCTCCCTATTGCTTAGCCTGTTTGTTCTTTCTTTAGTTCTGAGAACTTTCCTTTTTTACTGAAATCTTTGATACTCCTAATTTAGAACTTGATTCAGGGCTAAAATTTAATGGTCTCTATATGCTGTACAGTAATGTTTTTCAAACCATGGCTTAAAATCCATAGGTGTGTTATAAAATAACAATACAGTAGGATGTAAGCAGCATAAAACAACAAAAAAGGGAAGGAATGTAAAATATATAAATTTATCATATATGATAAAGGTAAATAATGTCTCTTGAAATGTTTGTTGGGTCATAATGTAAAAATATTTCTTACCTTGGGTATGGTAAGAAATTAAACATACACATTCCCTTTTCCAAATTATTTATATAGTTTATAAGCAAGCTATTTTGGTTAAGTTTTTGCTTTTATGCAGCTCATTCTTCATAATTAAGAATGTCTTATCACCTCACACCTACACACTGAGACATTCAATGCATGCTTACACATGTCTTGAGTAAGTAGAGTGGGTGTTACTGGGCTGAGTCCCCACAATTTTTTGTGTGCATGTTAACTGTTGAACTCCTTTGATGACTTAATTTAAAATAAATGACTAACAAGAACTAGAACTTGAATATAATGTAACTAGATTTAATACATTATTTTCTAGCTTCATCATCTGACTTGGTTTTAAAAGATGTTTTCCTCAATTTTTATTATTTTCACGTTTTTAGAGCCACACAATAAAAATACATTTAATGACTAATCAAATGTATTAGTTAACACATACTCCTTTTTCTAATCATTTTCTTACATCTGTATATTTTTTGATTGGATTCTTCTTGTTTTATCTGAATATTACTTTGTTGTAATAAATATATTATATTGATTAATATCACTTGCCTCTGTGGCCCACAATCATAATAATAATTATATTTTCATCTAAATATTAATATGCAAACTTTGTATTATTATAATAAAGAATATACTTGTTTTGAAGTTTTATCTTTATGTGAGATGTTTGTAGAATGCAGCATAAACAGTCATCATACTCTTTCCCTAAATACCTCTCTTTTAGGCAAGAAAGAAAACTATATAACTCTTATCAGGTTTGAGAATATTTCAGTTATACAATCAGGATAACCTCTCTTTTAATCTTTTAAAATAATAGATCTCAGCTGGGTACAGTGGCATGTGCTTATAGTCCCTGCTATTCAGGAGGCTGAGGTGGGAGGATTGCATGAGGACAGGAGTTCAAAGCCAGCCTGAGCAATGTAGTGAGACTTTGTCTTTTAAAAAAAATAATAGGTCTGTTTTTGTCTTGGGCTGACAAATGCAAATTATGATCTCTTTTGTTTTATTCTCCATATTGTATACACAGTGAAATGTGAATGTTAACAATTAAAAAAAATCATACATAATAATTGGTAGTTTTTCCTATGCTGGAAGGATGACCTCATAATATAAGAAATTATTATTATTTTTTGAAGGGGGAGGGGCATGAGAAGGGGGTTCAATTTCCTTTTTTTTTTTTTTTTTTTTTGAGTCAGTCTCACGCTGTCACCCTGGGTAGAGTGCAGTGGTGTCATGGTAGCTCACTGCAGCCTCAAACTCCTGGGCTCCAGTGATCCTTCTGCCTCAGCCTTCTAGTAACTAGGACAACAGGTGTGCAATGCAATGCCTAGCTAATTTTTCCAATTTTAGTAGAGATGGAGTCTCACTCTTGCTCAGGCTGGTCTTGAATTCCTGACCTCAAGCAATCCTCCTGTCTTGGCTTCCCAGAGTCTCAGGATTACAGGCATGAGCCACGACACCTGGCCAATAAGTTATTGAGATTCCATAATTTTTGCTTAAATGTTTCTATGAATAATTCTTATTCTTTATCCTGGCATAATTATGTGATCTGTTGGTAGAGGTTGGCTAATGAATTAATGTAATAGTTGGAAAAAAAGTTGTTTCTTAAAACATTAACATTAGCCATTATAATGAAAATAGAACTTTACCTTGAACAGTCACCATTTGACAAAGAACAAAGAAGTTGCCATTGTACATGTCCCTCTCTGACCTGGTTTGTCATATTTTCCTAAGGATTGACAGACTGGTGGTGGTGTCTTAGTCACTTCCCTTTCCTGTCTTATACTTCTTGCTCAGATAATTCCCAATATGCTTTTACACTTTGCTTTCCTAAAATCATAAAATTTTAGGGCTGAAGGTGGCTTTGAATTTCTTCTGGTTCACTTGCTGTATTTCATATGTGATGAAACTGAGACTTAGGGAAATTTAGTGACTTGGTGGATATTATTCAGCTACTTAGTGCATAACAGAGCCTGGGTATCAAGTGTTGTTTCCACTTTCACCTGACAGGAAGTCAGGGCCAACTAAAATGTGTTAAACTGAACCAACTCCACCTACTAAACCATTCTTTAGGTGAGTGGCACATCACTGCATTTAATCTTCTTAATAAGGGCAAGAGCACATAGTTTAAACTATGCCCGTGACCCTCTCCGGTGCATGCTTTCTGGACCCAAAAGCCAGTCTAACAAAAAGATTCAGAAGTCAGGTTGGAATAAGAAAAATCCTGTACTGCTCTGCTCTTTAGCAGTCATTTTCTTAAATATTCTGTTTCCTATAGTAGTCAACCATTTTCAAAGTTATGCTTTTCCTCTGAGTCTCCAAAGAAATCTTCTGCTTCTCTTCTGCCGGGGGTCCTCAAACTTTTTAAACAGGGGGCCAGTTCACTGTCCCTCAAACTGTTGGAGGGCCGGACTATAGTGTGAAAAAAACTATGAACAAATTCCTGTGCACACTGCACATATCTTATTTTGAAGTAAAAAAACAAACGGGCAAAAACACCCACATATGGCCTGTGGGCCATAGTTTGAGGATGCCTGTCTTATGCTATAGATTTTTTTCAGAAGCTCTTGATTGTTTCATTTGTTTCTTTCTCTCATCCATGTAACAAAAACTTTTGTACCCCCTTCACATATTGAAATTAAAAAAATTTATTTGAAAGGAGGATCTTAGTTTCCTCATTTTTCAGGTTAAGGAAATGGAGGCTTAAGTGATTTGCCCAAAGTCTCATAGTTGGTAATTGGTAGAGCTGAGATTCAAAGCTAGGTCAGACTTTACATATCACATTCTTTTTTATTACGTATTTTGCGAATATGTTTAGCTAAACATTGAAAGCAAGTAGTTGTGTAGAATTATAGTCTTGTGGTATTAAAGCTTTTCTATTTTATTTAATTTACATCTGAAAATAATGTGCTCTTAATCTTCTTTTTGAGATGGCAGTTCCTGGATTTATACTCGGTGCCTTCATAATTCTGTTGCGTGTTAGTTCTGTGGCTAATTATCCCAATGGAAGAGTAACACAGTCATGCCGTGGAATGATCCCTGAACATGGTCATAGTCCACAGTCTGTTCCTGTTCACAACATTTCAGTGAGTCAGAATACATTCAGACCAGGAGATCAGATTGAAGGTACTGTGCTGGAATTAATTTATTTATGTTTTGAGTTTCACTTTTTTACTATTCATTGAATCTTTATGATTATTGGATTTGGACTATTTTACTTAAATCTATTGACTTGTTTTTATAAGATACTGTCATATTATACTTATTATTTTTTCTTTAACTATTACAGATGACTGTATTACTTAAGTTGCATGTAAACCTATTCAGAAACCCATTCAGAACAAGTTTTTAAATAAGTTTTTATCATTACTTAATATATCTTTATCAGTACTGTTACCTCAATAGAAGAGAAAAAGAAAATTTATTTTATTTCTTATTTCTTTTTTTTTTTTGCAGTGGTTCTGTCGCTTGAAAGAAAGTTTATTTTATCATGTTTAAATTATAATAAATCCTTGTCTTTCTTGACATAATGTAATCTTAGGTTTCCCTGATCCTTCTGGCAAACTATAGACTGATTGTTAAAGGCAGACATCCTCGAACTATGGCCCGTGGGCCACATGTGGGTGTTTTTGCTCGTTTGTTTTTTTACTTCAAAATAAGATATGTGCAGTGTGCATAGGAATTTGTTCATAGTTTTTTTAAACTATAGTCCAGCCCTCCAACGGTCTGAGGGACAGTGAACTGGCCCCCTGTTTAAAAAGTTTGAGGACCCCTGGTTAAAGGTATATCTATGACAGCATTTTGCAAACTTTATTTTTCACAACTCTAGAAATACAAAATATTAACAGGTACTCTCCAACAAAAAGCGTGTATGGAGAAATAAACTTGGAATACCCTGTGTGATATATAACATACCTCTTAGAGTTTCACACTGCACAGTGGGATATTAAACACCCTAAGAGATATGCAGTAAAGAAACAAGTTATTTACTTTCGTCTAGCATTTTCCAAACTAATTTAACCCTATGGACTGCCCCTTGACCATCACCTACTTTTTTCCTCCCTCTGTGGAAGGATTATTAATATCTCATGGAGTGAAGGTCCTATGGAGCATAAGTTAGAACTTCTTTATTTGTAAGATGATTTCTATTCTTTTCTCTCCAGGCATAGTTTCGCATATGAACACTTGATTCTAACTGTGATGTACCTTCTCTAAACATTCCTCTACATATTCCTTTTTGGGATATTGTTAAATCTTTTAACTTATGTTTTTGTCTGTTTCTCAGTTACTTTGTCAGGGCAACCATTTAAAGGCTTTCTCCTAGAAGCTCGTGATGCTGAGGATTTGAGTGGTCTTCCTATTGGCTCCTTCACATTGATTGACAGTCAAGTGTCACAACTTTTGACCTGTGAAGACATACAGGTTTGTGTTCAAAGTTGACCCTTGAACCATGCAGGGGGTAGGGGTGCAGGCCCCCTGCTCCCTGCCTTCCTCTACATAGTTGAAAATCTGCATGTAACTTTTGACTCCCCCTAAAACTTAACTACTAATAGCCTACTGTTGACCGGAAGCCTTACCCATAACATAGTCTATTAATGCATATTTTGTATCTTATATGTACTACATCCTATATTCTTACAATAAAGTAAGCTAGAGAAAATAAAACATTATTAAGAAAATCATAAGGAAGAGAGAATATATTTATTTAAGTGGAAGTGGATAATCGTAAAGGTCTTCATTCTCGTCTTCACTTGTCTTGTGTTCTTGAATAGGCTGGAGGAAGAGGAGGGGTTGGTCTTATTTTTTTATTTTTTTGAGACAGAGTCTCACTTTGTTGCCCAGGCTAGAGTGAGTGCCGTCGCGTCAGCCTGGCTCACAGCAACCTCAATCTCTGGGGCTCAGCGATCCTACTGCCTTAGCCTCCCGAGTAGCTGGGACTACAGGCATGCGCCACCATGCCCGGCTAATTTTTTGTATATATATTTTTAATTGGTGGTCAATTAATTTATTTCTATTTTTGGTAGAGACGGGGTCTCGCTCAGGATGGTTTTGAACTCCTGACCTTGAGCAATCCGCCCGCCTCGGCCTCCCAAAGTGCTAGGATTACAGGCATGAGCCACCACGCCCGGCCAGGGTTGGTCTTATTGTCTCAGGGTTAGAAGAGGTGGAGGAGGCAGGAAGGGAGGCAGGAGAGGCAGGCACACTCAGTGTAACTTTATGGAAATATGTCATAATTTCTGTCTGACATTTTTGCTTTTTCATTTCTCTGAAAATGTTGCTATACAGTACCAATCCTTCTTCCACTGTTTGCTTTAGTTTCAGTTGCCCGAATCATAGAAAGGTCCATGTTGTAAAAGAAGTCAAAGTGGTCTCAAATAATCAGAACGCTTTTGCCAGATTGTCTAAAGTCAATTTGTTTTCTGGCATTGATTCTTCTACATCTTCTTCCTCATTGCCTGGCACTGGTTTGGAAGCACTCTTCTCCATCAAGTTGTCTTCTGTTAATTCCTGTGGTGTGGTCATAAAACCTATGAAGTCATGCAAAACATCTTGATACATTTTTTTTTTGTCCAGCAGGAATTTATCATTTTGGGTTTGATGGCTTTCACAGCTTTTTCTATAGCAATGATATCTTCAGTGGTGTAATCCTTCCAGACTGGGATGATGTACCTTCTATCAAGGTTCTCTTCCATAAAGTACCATGTGTAATGAGCCTTAAAGGTCCTTATGATCGGGGATCCAGAGGCTGAATTAGAGTCATTGTGTTTGGGGGCAAGTGGACAACTTTTGCACCTTTGGTGTTGAAATCATGGGGTTCTGGGTGGCCAGGAGCATTGGGTAATATCAAAAGAACTTTAAAAGGCAGTTCCTTACTAGCAAGTTTGCTTCCTGACTTCAGGGGCAAAGCATTGTTGGTACCAATCCAGAAAAAGTCTTGTTGTCCAAGCTTTCTCATTGTACAACCTAAAGATGGGTAGCTGGTGTTCATCTTTTCCCTTCAAGACTTGGGGGTTAGCAGCTTTATAGATAAGGGCAGTGCTTATCATAAACCCAACTACATTGGCACAAAACAGTAGATTTAGTTTATCCTTTCCTGGCTTAAATTCTGGTGCTTGCTTCTCTCCCTTGCTAATAAATGTCCTTTGTGGCCTTTTTTTTTTTTTTTTTTTACAGAAGAGGGCACTTTTGTCTGCCTTAAAAACCTGTTCAGGCAGATATCCTTTCTCCTCCATGACTTTCTTAATGGCATCTGGAAACTTCATCTTCTGCCCTTTGGTCAGCAGCAGCTGCTTTTCCTGTTATTTTGACATTTGTTTTTAAAGCCAAACCTCTTCCTAAAAGTATCAAACCATCCTTTACTGGTATTAAATTCTCCAGCGTTAGGTCTTTCACCTTCCTTTTGTTTTAAGTTATTGTATAATGACTTCACTTTTTCTTGAATCATATTAGAGGCTATAAGTATGCCTTTTTTTTATAGCAATCCTGCACCCACTTAAGAGCTGCATTTTTAATATGAGACAAAAAGGTATTTTGCAAAAAGTACAAGGTTTTAGTGTGTGCTGGCATAGCTGCAGTGAGAGCTCCACAAATTTTCTTTTCTTTTTTACAATGGTCTTTATGCTGAATTCATTTATCTTGGAATAGTGGACAACCATAGCTTCAGACTTCAATCAATGATACATATCAAGAAATTCATCTTTTTCTTGTAATGTCACGAGTTTTCTCTGCTTCTTAAAGCACTTCCAGCATAATTAGTGTGGCACTTCGTGTGTGCCCCATGGTGTTCTTCAAAGTTTACAGTATTGCATTAAACATGATAAAAAATATACAAGAACCACAAGAGATCGTGATATGCAATTTACTGGCAAGAGGAATGGCTCACATGGAGGTGGTTAGCATCACATGGAGTTTTAAACGAATACTTGCAACACTTGAGCTCACTGCAATAGCAACAGGTGGCTATGAAATTAGTACAGTAGTGCAGTATATATTACAGTTCATTTTATATGCAGTTATGATTTAATCTTACATCTTTACGTTTGTTTACATTTCTCTTGACTGCAGGTGGTGCCGTGTATTTGTGTAAGTTTTGATAAGTTTTTAAGTTTTTATAATAGATTTGTGTATATTTTATGGCAATAAATGATAAAATAGACTAGTATCTGCATATATTTTATGTATTCATGACATACCTTTTTCTTAATTTTTTCAATATTTCTAGGCTATGAAGTTTGTGAATTCTTTCAAATTCCCACAAATCTCCAAAAAATTTTGCAATATATTTATTGAAATAAAAAATCCACATATGAGTGGACCCATGCAGTTTAAACCTGTGGTGTTCAAGGGCCAACTGTAGTTTGTAAGTGCTCTTTTTTGGCTTTATTTTGTCTTCTCACTACAGGGTGGTGATGAAGGTTGCAAGATGAACGATGACATAAACCATGTGTTGTAGACATTTAGATAGATTTGCAATGCCTAGACTTTTCTCTTAATTTTACTACTCATAATGTACACATCAACATCCTAGAAAAGGTGGGGCAGTAGTTTGAAGAGTTTATAGCTTGTGATGTTTTATAGTGTATTTACTCTTATTATATCGATTTTTGAAGGGTTTGAATATTAAACATCTAGTGTGACAGAGGTCTAATTTTTGTCATTCATTTATTTATTCATCCATTTAATCTATTATATCACAAATTGCCCTAGTTGCGAGGGATATGATGATAGACAAGATTTACTCTTGTTCTTTGAAGAACTCCTAGCCTTACACTTAAATAGGACATCTGGACATAGGACAGACAGATACATAGAACAGTGTGATAACTTTGGTTAGAAGCATACACGGGCTGGAGGGAATTGGGGGAGAGCTTCTCAGAGAAGATGGTCTTCAAGTGAAGCCTCAAAGAATGAGTAGGAGTTTGCCAGATGCATGAAGGTAGGAAACAGGATTGTTCAAGAGAAAGCAGTTACTAAAATATACTACATGTTTGGAGGCACGATCAATCTTTTTCTTTTGATGACTCTTTTGCATTCTATGTGTATATATTAATGGAAGGATAATGAAATAATGGGCAGGCTCTATCTAGTATTAACACACTCAGTATTCATGACTCTTCAGTTCTTAAATTTCTGCTGACTCTAATTTATTCACAGAACCAGCTGCTAATCTGTTGTTAACCAATCAACCTGTTATTTATTGAGTATCTGTGTCCTTGTTCTAAATAGTCTTCACGGGAATGCCAAGGTCATGCATTGATAAATTACTTTGCAAGATGATAGCAGTTCCAGCCATGCTGAGCTATTGAGTAAGTGAATGGTATAGTTCATTTCCCTTTTATTTCAGGGATCAGCTGTGAGTCATACAAGTGCATCCAAAAAAACAGAAATTAAAGTCTACTGGAATGCTCCAAGCAGTGCCCCGAATCACATACAGTTTCTGTGAGTATAAGAGTTTACAACTGGAACTAGTGTAATTGAAACCATAGTAGTGTATCATTTTCATACCTACTGGAAATTCATCTGCACAGGTATAGTAATGACACCACCAATGCTTTTTCCCCTCCCACCAGGTCCTGTGCTAGCCAGCACCTAGCACAGGACCTGGTACCTAGCAGGCATATAATAGACATTTTTTTTTTTTTATATAATAGACATTTGTTGAGTGACTGAAGTATTGTACTGCCTTAATACTAATAAGAGCCATCAATTAATACTTGAGTCTTTTTGTGTGAGGATACAAATAAAAGTCCTGAAATTTGGATGACTTTTTTGCGGTGTTATGACTCTCAGATTAGCTTGTCTGAAAAGTAAGACCCTGTATGTTCCTAAAAATTATGAAATTCAGTAGAATAAAATAGTACTTCTTCATTAATCCTGCATGCAAAGGGAAATGGAATGTCATAAAGCCATGTAATGGTTCCTGGGTGGTGTTACAGACATATATTTTAAGGGTAAGGGTGTGTGGTTGCTATCCTGTCATGTCTCTGTTTTCTGATTCACTTTGTTCACAGGTTCCCAGCACACGGTAACATAGCTTTGCACCTATGCGTTAGGTGGAATGTGAAAAAGGGGTGTGTGTGTGAGCCCAGTGAGAGCTGATGGTTATTTATGTAGGCTTTATATAGTTTCCTGCTGTAGTTTGCTACACATGCCATTTTGAAGAATTCGAATAGTGTGCTATGAAACGAGGAGTAGTATGTTCTTTATATGCAGGGAGTAGAAATCTGTGGAGTTTAGTCTCTGGGTCTGGCATTCATGGCTGTTGTGAATATGTGCAAAGAACAGACAAGTAAGAAAAGAGAGGGATAGAGGAAGAGAAAGCAGTAAGATGTCATCTAGCAAGGGGGCAGAGGAGAGTCATTAGAGATTCGCCTGAAACAAAATCGGTAGTACTGTTATATACTCAGTCATGTGTTCCTAGTTCATTTCCTTTTTTTTTTTTTTTCCCCTTTAAAGTTTTGATTTGATTGTGGTGGGCCATAATCAGGGTTCTAATCTCACTGATATTGCATTTCAGGGTCACTGTTGTGGAGAAATATAAAATCTACTGGGTGAAGATTCCTGGTCCTGTCATTTCACAGCCAAATGTACTTCCTTTTACAACACCTAAAGCTACAATAGTACCTTTGCCAACACTGTCTCCAGTTTCCCACTTAACGAAATCAGTAAGTAACATTTTTATAGCTTTACTAAATGCAATCTAAAATAACATGTAATCAAATATAATGTCTATATGTTATAAAATGTAGAAGAGAAGGAAAATAAGACATTACATAAAAGTAAAATGCTTTACTTAGTTTTTTCTATGTGAGCAAAGAGGTATATTTGTGGTTGGAAATTGTGATTCTGTGCTTGGCAAAGTGCAAAGAGAACTAGCTGTACTGGGTTGTGGTAGGAAGTTTTTGGGAATCTGAAGGAAATTCTCATTGCAACATTATGACTTAAAGGTTAGAATAGAGGGAATGGTCATGACCCTGCATGTTCAAGGTGTGGTTATGGCATTCACATGTAGTCTGTGCTAGTAGTGGATATATTTTCATTTCAAAATAAATCTGGTGAAGAAACAGCTTTCTCTCTTTCTCTGTTTCATATAGCCAAATATCAAAAATGGGGAGGGAGCTTAAGCTAAATTTAGATAAGATTTGGAGGAGGTTCTTGAAGTGATGATATAACTCTTAGATGTTATTTCATTAAGGTCAAAGAGTACTAGAGAATTCTATATGCTGAACCACAGAAAATCTCTTGCAAACTCACCAGCTAGAATTCCATTTAGGCCCTCTGAATCAAAAGAATTGCGATTGACAAAGCATATTTTGGATAGGGTAATGCACATTAGAAACATTAGGAAGAAGGGTTTTACTGCAGAAAATTCTGATAAATTAGAATTCTTAATTCAGAAGTGAATATAATAAGAAAAGTCTTGAGGCAGGTTGTAACAGTTGAAAGAACAAATGTGGGCCTAAATACTGACTTGTCTGATTTTTATGTGTCTTTGGATGAATTACTTAATTTTCAAAGTCTCAATTTATTCACCAATAGAATGAGAAATAATGATGTTAGCACAGTATAACTGTAAGAATTAAACAAAATAATGAATGTCAGTTTTCTAACTCTGCTTTGCACTTAATAGATATTCAGTAAACATTAGTTCCTTCTCTTTTTTCTTTGCTTTATTATCCTTTCATACCTCTTTGTTCACATAAAGAAGGCTAAGTAAAGCACTTTGCTCCTGTGTAATGTCTTACTTTGTTTCCTTTCTCGTTTACATTTTATAATACATGGACATTATATTTGATTACATTATTATGAATACCACACTTTTGTTTGACCGTACAATTAGATCTGTTATTTGTGCTAGCTCTCAGTTTAGTCTTATTAGCTTTAGTCTTATTGCTTATTTAATTAAAAGCTGCTTTAGGGGAATAAATAGTCAGTTTGGACCTGAGCTTCCCAGTAGAAATCTGTTTACTGTTGTCTTTCCATATATTCGCATAAAAGGCATTAGCTCTTATTGGAGCTTGTATTGTGTCTCTGCGCCAAGTTTATAATCTCTAATTATAGGAAAGTTCATTGAGAGTCATAGGATTATACCATTTTTAGAGCTAGAAGAAACCTCAGGGTCTCTTTCTTTCAGTTTTCTTGTTGTATAGTTGAAGGGAAAGGGATCCTGAGAGAATGAATTCTTTGGCAAATGTGATGGAGTGAAGCAGAGAGCAGAGAACAAAGTTTAAGTTTCCTATCTTCTAGTGACTTGTTCTCTTCACTCTACTATGCTTTGTCTTGACATTTCCATTTAGTTACATAATGTTTAGGTCTCTTCTGAAAAGTCCTGTCACTGCCCATTCTACAAAGGTGCTCATTTACTTTGTCAAATTGCAGAGATGATCCTTTTAAAAGACTCTTCCTCTTATGTTCCTTATCAAGAAGATCTGGATTAGATCACTGTAGATTGTTGCTTGTTTCTCCCTCCACTAAATCATTACTATTATTTGGAGTGGTGGCGTATATCTGGGGAGCCATTTTTTCTTATTTTAGTATCAAATTTGAATCTGAATTGTAGAAGCAGAATCCAAAATCTAAATATAATAACTTGGTAAAGGTTTGATTGCTTACTTTTTAAAGATTTCATCTTTGAGAACTAGAGGAAACCCTTTATGCAAGAATATCAATGACATTTAAGTAGCAGGGACTTAAATACTCCCTAAGAAGTTTCTTAAAATTTACCAGAAACTTTGCTTCAGAACATACTGAATGTGAAATGTTTTGTGTATTAAAGGAACCTTAATACTCTTGCATGATTACAGTCCAACTAGTGTTATGTTTTCCAAACTTTAATTAAAATTAACGAAGTTTAAAAGTTCAAAACGTTTAACTATTGCTCTGATCATTTCTAATTTTTAGGATATGCCTTTTGTTTTCTTATTTGAATCCTTATTATGAAAAGATATTCTCATTAAAACCCATACTTGAAGATAGTGGCTCTTCTGTCATTGACAATGAACTGCTTCTTCGATAATTAAGATTTTTTTTTCCCTGCCATTTTTCTAGTTCAGTGCCTCGGACTGTGGGAACAAGAAGTTCTGTATTAGAAGTCCTTTGAACTGTGACCCAGAGAAGGAGGCTGCCTGTATCTTCTTGTCCTTCACAAGAGATGACCAATCAGTGATGGTTGAAATGAGTGGTCCCAGTAAAGGCTATTTATCCTTTGCACTGTCTCATGACCGATGGATGGTTTGTACCTCTCACTTGCATAAGTGGTAATAAAAGGACAGTCACTGGAGTGAGCTCTGATCAATATAGATAAGCTGTTTGTTCCAGAATGAAATGTTCATACTTAAGGGTAGAATGAGAAAAGAGAAAGTAACTTAGAACAGATTCCAAGTTAAACAGCTCTGAATATTTTATGATTTTAACAGTTAGGCAATTATATACTTCCAAGAACAGACTGTCCTAAATAAAGTTAGGAAAATCATTTTATTTCCAGTGGATTTGCCATTTTATGTCTATCTCTTTGCGATAAAGCAGGAAGCTCAGTTAAAAAAAATCGCTCTGCATAAAATGTCATGTTTCATGTAATGCCTTTCAAATCATAGTTGTTTACTCAGGTGGCCAGAACTAAAGCATGTGCTCCTGCTCTCGGTGTCCGATTTTAGTAGTCTTCAGTTCATTTCCCAAATAGAGAATTAAACCTGTATATCCAGGCAAAATGTATTACAGTAGGCTCCTTTGTCAGATCTGCAGAAAGCAGCATTTGTTTTAAGCGGAGTCTTGCTCTCCCTGGGTAGTGCGGAAAGGATTAAATGATCCTGTAGGTGGCAGCCTTGTGCTGTGGTGTGGAAGACCAGGGCCTGCATAAGCACCCCAGTTTCCCAGGGAGCAGGAAGAAGAGTTTGGGGCCAGAACATATGTAAATCTTGTTTAAGCAGAGTTGGTGTTGGGAGGCTGGGGATGACCACAGATGGAGAAAGCTCCTTATTTCCACATTAGCAGAGGCAAAGAGTCTTTTCTTGAGTTTTATTCCTATCAGGATTTAAACTTAGTACCACTTCTTTAGGGAATCACATTTCAAAAATAGAAAAGGAAGTGTGACATGGCCACGATACAGGAAATAATGCTTCCCCTGAAAGTGCACTCTGGGTGGCTGCAAGTATCATAGAAAGCTGAAGCAACTTTTTTTAGGGGCATGCCATTTTAGTATGTGTAGATGACCTATATATTTTACTATATACCTCTAGAATGCACTTGCTATCCTCTGTCATTAAACAAAGGATATAAATTAAATCTATGAGCTATAAGATATGTCATGTGCTTTAAAAAATTAAGAAAAATTATGAATCTTTCCCCTTCAATATTGCTCTGTTTTTTTTTTTTGAGACAGAGTCTCGCTTTGTTGCCCAGGCTAGAGTGCCGTGGCGTCAGCCTAGCTCACAGCAACCTCAAACTCCTGGGCTCAAGCAATCCTGCTGCCTCAGCCTCCTGAGTAGCTGGGACTACAAGCATGCGCCACCATGCCTGGCTAATTTTTTCTATATATATTAGTTGGCCAATTAATTTCTTTCTATTTACAGTAGAGAAGGGGTCTCGCTCTTGCTCAGGCTGGTTTCAAACTCCTGACCTTGAGCAATTTGCCCGGCTCAGCCTCCCAGGGTGTTAGGATTACAGGCGTGAGCCACCGCGCCCAGCATCAATATTGCTTTTATGGGAAATTTTATACACACTCAGATGACGCTGCAATTGCTCAAAACATTTTCCTCACTTCCCTTTTGCAATTGCCGTTAGTCCTGTAGTGTATTCTTTTGGATGTTCTCAGTGCTGGCGAAAATGAATCAAGTTTGATGTGTAAGGTAAATCATGAGACAGGATTAAAAATAAAATGTGGGCCGGGCGAGGTGGCTCATGCCTGTAATCCTAGCTCTCTGGGAGGCTGAGGCGGGTGGATTGCTCAAGGTCAGGAGTTCGAAACCAGCCTGAGCAAGAGTGAGACCCTGTCTCTACTATAAATAGAAAGAAATTAATTGGCCAACTAATATATAAAGAAAAAATTAGCCGGGCCTGGTGGCGCATGCCTGTAGTCCCAGCTACTTGGGAGGCTGAGGCAGGAGGATCGCCTGAGCCCAGGAGTTTGAGGTTGCTGTGAGCTAGGCTGACGCCACGACACTAACTCTAGCCTGGGCAACAAAGTGAGACTCTGTCTCAAAAAAAAAAAAAGTGACTATAAAGTAATAATGAAAAGTGGTGGTAGGGCTTGTTGTTGTGTGAACATGATAAAATTAGCTATGAAGGAAATTCTGAAAATGAGTCCAAAAAAGGACCAACTTGTTGAATAAATGTATAGATTCATTGGGGTTCATCTCTAAGGGACAGCATTCATTTAGATATATGTTCTAGTCATTAAAAAAATCTTGACTGATTCTAGCCACTTTATAGCCAAAGTTCTTGCTGTTGTATACTAAAACATTTCCTTCCACTGGTCACATAAAATCTGTAAGCAAGAGGGAAAGACACTGCCACTGCCTTGAGTGTGGTGATGAGTAGCTTACAGGTAGGCCAGTTATTTCTGTTCTAGATTGTAGGCACTGATGGCACAAAAGCATTTATCTCTAATTCACGATATATTTATCTTACTTAGAAATCTTGTCTGTTTTCTGGTATAGTACTCATCAAAAATGTTTATAAAAAAACTTAATTATGCAGGTGCAGTTGATTTTCAGAGCAATCTTATTTAATGATTAAAATCATCTGTACACCTGTTTGCCTAAATTGGGGGAAATGAATCATCCTCAAAACATATTTTTAAAGTGGGTATTTCTATTTCGGTTGTTATTTTTAAATTTTTAGGATATTTTTATGGCCTGCTGTCTCTTTTGAGTGTATAATGTAAATTTAAATACTGAAGGTATCTGATGTTGTGAATACTGATTAGATAACCTAAATTATACCCTTTTTTCAATTTGGCTTGTAAATTAATTATAGCAATTGTTTTGGCACTAGGCCTCATCACTAAAATTGAAATGTATAATTTCTTATATTTTTGCTAAAAATGACTCACTAATGTCTGAATTTTAACTGAATTTCTGAGTACAGTGAATCTTCACTTAATGTCATTGATGGGTTCTTGGAAACTGTGACTGTAAGTGCAATGATGTACAGCAGGTCCTCAAATAATATAGTTTCCCTCAACATCATTTTGTTATAATATTGATGAGGAAAAAAAATTTTTGTTTTGTTAAACGTTGTTCCGCTTAAAGTCACAGTTTCTAAGAAAGAACCTATTGATGACTTTAAGTGAGGACTTATTGTACATGCGTCTTCCCTATTTGAGGTATTTTTTAAAACAATATAAAGTCTTTCAAGTACAGACATTATTAGCTTCCATTCTTCTCCATCCCCTGTCCTTTATCATCTTGTTCCATACATGATCTCTCAGTGCCCGAACTCTCTAGATTGTGATTTCTAGCTGCCGGCTGGTCTCGTCCAGTTGAGTATTCCTGGACAATGCAAACCAACATCTATAAAACTGAACTTATAATCTTCCATTTTAATGTCTCTTTGTGTTCCCCTTTCTTGGTGATCAACAAGCAGCTGCCATTATTGATTGCTTACTTCTTGTCAGGTATTGTCCTAGGCCATTTATAGAATATCTCATTGCTGCTACTATCCTTGATAGTCAGAGATATTTTGATTGTGACTTAGTACATCTCTTTCGTTCATCTATCACGTCCTTCTCCCTTCTATCTCCAGCTTTTTGTTTTGAAAAGTTTAAAACCTACATAAAAGTTGAAAGAATGAACATCCAGAGTGGCCTCACCAAGATTTGCCCCTTTAGCTTTCTGTCTCTATCTACCTATCTATCTCAATTGACTTATGTGATGTATAAAAATACACCTTTTTTTCTGAATTATTTGAAAATAAGTTGTATATATCTCATGACATTTCATCTCTGAAGTTTTTAAAATGTGTCTCCTAAGAACAAGGACATTCTTCTACAATTACCACAACATCTTAATCACATTGAGAAAATTTAACAATGATAGGATAATTTTATGGAATATATAGTCTATATTCCAATTTCCCCAGTTATCCTAATAAAGTCTTTTGTAAGTGTTTCATTTTAAAATTTCTATCCAAGATTCCATCAGTTATCACTCAATGAGTTTAGTTGTTATATCTCTTTGATTTCCTTTACTTTAGAACAATTACCTCTACCTTTTTTCTTGATTTTTTTTTTTTCAGGTCACTTATTTTGTAGAATGTTCTATAATTTATACAATAGATTTATGTTAAGATTTTTGGCACAAATACTACAAAGATATGTTGTTTCCACATCAGTGCATCATATAAAAGTTGCACAGTGTCAAATTGTTCTGTTATCGATGATGCTATGTGTGATCACTGGTGTCTGTTAGGTTTTCCCATTGTGAAGGTACATTTTCTTTTTGTAATTAATAAGTAATATGTGGGATGATCCTTTGAGTCTGTGTTAATATTATGTTCCCCAATAACCTGTTACCAAATGGTTTTAGTATTTATTGATGTTCCTTCTCTGAATCAGTTGTTACCTTTGTGGTTGTAAAGTGGTGATTCTCTAACTTATTAGCTGACATTCTTCTGAAAAGAAAAAGGTTTCTTTTCTCTGCACTTTCCCTTCCCTTTCTGAGTAACACTATGGGCTAATGGATTCCTTTTGACCATTGTATTGTAGTTTATTACTACCATTCTTCTTTTGGATGGTCATGTTGACCCAAATGTGGCCATGGGAGCCCTTTCGAGCTGGTTTCTGTGCCCTTTTGATGTGTCTCCATCAGTTTTTGAGCATGTCTTTATTTCAATATCATAATAAGATATTCTCCACACATACTTTTATGCATTTCATCACTTCTCAAAGGAGCTTTGCTTCCCTTTAGTAGCAATTGTATTTAGAAATCAAGATTTGCGTGCTAATGCATGTTCATTGCTGCTGATTTCCCAGGAAATTTTGATTCTATCTTTCTAACATACCTCTTTCCTTCTCATTTTTATTGTCTCCTTCCTGGACTGCTGCAGTAACCCTTCCACAGTCTTCCTGTGTCCATGATTTTCCCTTCCATTTTATCCTTTCACACAGCCATTGGAATTCTCTTCCCAAGTCACAATTGAGATGGTCTCAAAAATATCTCCCCAAACTTTTGGTGAACCTTTGGTAACTATAGAAAAATTATTCTTTTTCTTTAGCATTTGTTTCAATATTCTTCAAAGTCTTGAGAATATTTGTTGGAATTTCCAGCCTTCAAACTCTTTCTTTCCTCTTTATATATTTTAGCTAACAAAATTACTTGTTTCCTAAAATTTTCATGTATCTTTATATTTGTCTATCTTTGATTGAAGAAATTCCTCAGCTTAGAAAACCTTTAATCTTAGCTCTACCTTATCCTTATATAAATATATTTTATTCTCTAAATTCTAATTAATTACCATTTTTTCTGATAAGCCTTTTCCAATTCTCTGGCCATACATAATTTGTCTTTTCTTAACACTTTGCCTGAATCTCTATTTTATCATATTTAATGTACTACTGTACCTGTCTCTCTCCTCCATTAAAACATAGGCTTTGGGCTGGGCACGGTGGCTCATGCCCATAATCCTAGCACTTGGGAAGCCGAGGCGGGCGGATTGCTTGAGGTCAGGAGTTCGAAACCAGCCTGAGCAAGAGCAAGATCTCGTCTCTACTATAAATAGAAAGAAAATTAATTGGCCAACTAATAGATATAGAAAAAATTAGCCAGGCATGGTGGCGCATGCCTGTAGACCCAGCTATTCAGGAGGCTGAGGCAGTAGGATTGCTTGAGCCCAGGAGTTTGAGGTTGCTGTGAGCTAGGGTGATGCCACGGCACTCACTCTAGCCTAGGCAACAAAGCGAGACTCTGTCTCAAAACAAAACAAAACAAAACAAAACAACCATAGGCTTTGATTGTAAGAACCATATTCTAGTCATCTTTATTTTTTCCACAGTATCCAACACAATGTTTTCTCACAGAGTGCATTCCAAATGCTTAAATCGAGAGGGGCAAACTTGGGAGAGAGCTTCAGTAGAACCCAGAGATTTGGTGGAACTTCTTATGTTGTATGCTTTCATGCTCCAAATGAGGGGTTCTAGAACTGCCTGGAGCATAAGGTTGTGCTAGAACCTTCTCTTACCCTTCATTTAAAATAGTAAGAACTGAGAGTTTTCTGTTCTTTAGCCTCATCATCTTCCCCAATATTTGGACAATCTACCTTTATTGATTTAGTATTTTAGTTTACTTCTTCTTATCAGTTTGTCTCAAAATCAGCCATTTTGTTGTATCAATTTTTTTTAAATAACGAAAGAATTCCTATGCTTCACCGATGATGGACATTCTAGAATATATGCATTATTTAAATTGGGGTTCAACAAACTTTTTTCTGTAAAGGACAAGATTGTAACTGTTTTAGTGTCTGTGGGCCATATAGTCTCTGTTGCAACTACCCAACTCAGTTGTAGTACAAAAGCAGCCATAGATAATACATAAATGAATGGGTGTGGCTGTGTTCCAATAAAACATTATTTATGGACACTGAGTTTGACTTTGATATATTTTTATTTGTCATAAAATAGTCTTCTTCTTTTAATTTTTTTTTAGCCATTTAAGGATGTAGCAACTATTCTTAGCCCATGAGTTGTAGCTACAGGTTGAATCTGGTTTGCAAGCCATGGTCTGTCAACTCTTGGTTTAAGTTATGACTACTCCAAATTTCTTATCTGAGCTAATTCTGATTTGACTATAAAATGTATAATAGTGAATAATTGCTTTGCTAGGAGTATGTCCTTGACAGTTTTCAAAAGTAGAACATTTTAAAATAAATTTGAATCTGAAAGTATAGAAATATATCAGAATTTAATATTGGAATTTATAGCAAAATTTATTATAACTAGGTAGTCTTGGATTTTAGAGAATTTAGTGATTAACACACATAAAGAACCTGGTTAAATAGTTTGTGGAGAAAATAAGTGAAATACCAAGTTATAGACAATTACTTAAAATTAAGATTACTCATTGGTCCACTGTTTAAATGTTTTTTGTTTTTTTTTTTTGAGACAGAGTCTCACTCTGTTGCCCAGGCTAGAGTGCCGTGGTGTCAGCCTAGCTCACAGCAACCTCAAACTCTTGGGCTCAAGCAGTCCTTCTGCCTCAGCATCCCAAGTAGCTGGGACTACAGGCATGTGCCAACACGCCCAGCTAATTTTTTCTATATATTTTTAGTAGACCAATTAATTTACTTCTATTTTTAGTAGAGATAGGGTCTCGCTCTTGCTCAGGCTTGATTTGAACTCCTGACTTTGAGCGATCCATCCGCCTTGGCCTCCCAGAATACTGGGATTACAGGCATGAGCCACCATGCCTGGCCCTGTTTAAACATATTTTGAAGTTACAGTCTGCCCTCTCCTAGTCACTTTAAAGAATAAGATTTAGCTTTCAGAGTCAAGGAATATTGGAGACTAAAGCATAGGTAAGAAGTAGACAGACAAAAAACTCCCCCTTGAGCTCAGATATTTTTGTTTCAATTATGTAACATTAGATCTATTAAGTGTGTTCAATATGTGGCAATATTTGATTACAGCATCTTCCATCTTAAGAGCTACTAAAAATATCTGATATAATGCAGTGTATCCACAATCGTTAAAACATATAGGACATAGATATTTATTCACAAATAAATATGTGGAACAACATTTGTGATAAATAGTAGAAAAAGGTAACAAAGCTATATATATATTTTCCCATTTGGGAAGGAGAAAATAGATATGAATACAAATAGATTTAGATAGATATATACAAAAGCATTAAAGTGGTATTCAACTGGTGATTGACTTATGGACATATGAACATGTTATATGTCTATCTTTATCTATTTTACACTGAAATTTTAGTGCTTTCATATTATAACAGAATTATTTTTAATTAATAAATTGGACAGCCAATTCTCTAGAATTCATAATATCATTCAAGATTGAGTCAGTAAGTTATGTTTTAAAAGCATCAAATAATACTTGATTTCCTTAGGGACTTTTCTTTTTTAAACCAAAATGCTGAAAGTCCTTTAAACTTTTTTCATTTGCAATTGTTTTTCAGGGTGATGATGATGCTTATCTGTGTATTCGTGAAGATCAGACAGTGCACATGCAGCCTTCTCGTTTGACAGGGCGAAGTCACCCTGTGATGGACTCCACGGTGGGTGTGAAAATTCTGGGAAACTCCACATGGCTGGTCCACTTTCCGGCTATGTGGCTATCACTGGCACAGCTTGCTGCAAGATAGTCTCCAATCCCTGCAGTCACAGCCTGGCTTGAGCAGGTGCCTGGCAGCAGGGTTCCTTTCACAATGATTTCTGAGAAACTTTTCTGTACTTTAGATAGCACAAGACAAATTTCTCTTGTAGGGAAAGGTGAATTCTTGCTTGTGTTACTTAAATCCTTTTTGTTGCTTCTTACAAAAAAGTATTTTATGGTTTGTTAAGATAGAGCATTAACCCCTTTTCACAAGCTTACAGACAGGTTTTCTTTCTTTTCTTTTTCTTTTTCTTTTCTTTTTTTTTTGAGACAGAGTCTTGCTCTGTTGCCCAGGCTGGAGTGCAGTGGTGTCATCATTGCTCATTGCAACTTCAAACTCCCAGGCTCAAGTTATCCTCCTGCCTCAATCTCCTGAGCTAGGAGTACAGGCACGTGCCTGCTAAGCTAATTTTTTTGTTCTTTGTAGAGACAGGGTCTCGCTATGTTGTCAAGCTGGTTTTGAACTCCTAGCCTCAAGTGATGCTTCTGGCCCTGCCTCCCAAAGTGCTGGGTTTACAGGCATAAGCCATCATGCCCAGCCCCAGACAAGTTTTCAAGAAGAGACTTATGTTAGTGACAGAGTTTCTTTTTTTTTTTTTGAGACAGAGTCTCGCGTTGTTGCCCAGGCTAGAGCGAGTGCCGTGGCATCAGCCTAGCTCACAGCAACCTCAAACTCTTGGTCTCAAGCAATCCTCCTGCCTCAGCTTCCCGAGTAGCTGGGACTACAGGCATGCGCCACCATGCCTGGCTAATTTTTTCTATATCTATTAGTTGGCCAATTAATCTCTTTCTATTTTTAGTAGAGACGGGGTCTCGCTCTTGCTCAGGCTGGTTTCAAACTCCTGACCTTGAGCAATCCGCCCGCCTCGGTCTCCCAGAGAGCTAGGATTACAGGCGTGAGCCACCACGCCTGGCCGTGACAGAGTTTCTTGACTAGTGAGAAGGAGGAGCACATTTGGTTAAAACTGGTGCCCACCAGTTGTCTTAAGTGCCCTTTGTTGGCATCTGTGTCAAAGGTGGGCTATTTCAGGTAAAGGAGTGTCTTTTTCACAGGGCAGTTGACAAGCAATGAGCTCTGAAAGAGCTGTAGCTATCACTTAATGACATAGCAAATGAGGTCTGACTGAACAGTAGCTATCACTTAATGACATAACTATCCAGAGCTTTCCCATGGGGTTGCCTCTCACAGCTGGCTTGGAACTTCTCCCCAGTTACATGTTGCATTTTGGCCACTCGGGTATTACTAATGGTTTCTTCAGTGTTTTTGATTGTATGCTAGTGGCCAAATGGAGTTAGTTCATCTGCTAAAATTTCCAACCCCGGTGAGGAATTGTAGGGTTCTGGCTCAAAGTAAAAATAATATTTTTGCCAAATGGGATAAAGACAAATAAACTGGGAGAAAATGTTTCTTGTACTCTTCAAAGAGGAAGTGGAAAAACAATGATACTGCAGACAAAGCATACACATAAAGTCTTAGAAAAAGGAAATTGAACAGGGCAGGATTTTGATCATATCTTATTTTTAGCAAATATCTGGGAAGTGCTAAGAAGACTTATTGTGTATGTTTGTAGGATACTCTTGAAGATATGGCTTGGAGGTTGGCGGATGGTATTATGCAGTGTTCCTTCAGAAGAAACATTACCCTTCCTGGGGCTAAGAATAGATTTGATCTAAACACAAGCTACTACATATTTCTAGCAGATGGTGCAGCTATTGATGGTAAGAATATTAATAAAAACTGTCTTTTCAAGCTTTTTGTTTCTCTTCCTTCCTCCCTTTCCCTTCCTCTTTTGGAGAGACTACTGTAATAAGGAACACACTTTATGGATAAGAAGTTATAACCCTTTTCTATTTTGCCTAAAAATTTGACTTTTAGTTAACCTGCTCTTCTAGCTGTGTTTCTCTGGAAACTAGAAAAGGTAGAGTGTCAACTGTGTTATAAAGCAGCATTGCCTATGATTAAAATGGCCTCTGGTTGGTAAAATGCATTTGACCTGAAGAACCATAAATACCTTGCAAGAAGCCATATCTTTGGGCTTCCCTGAATGTAGTGACATTAGCATTGCGGGGACTGTAGAAATAGCGCCTTTGGGCTTATTGCAAGAGATAGTGCTCTTGCCAGGCGCGGTGGCTCACGCCTGTAATCCTAGCACTCTGGGAGTCCCAGGCGGGCGGATTGCTCAAGGTCAGGAGTTCAAAACCAGCCTGAGCGAGACCCCATCTCTACCATAAAAATAGAAAGAAATTAATTGGCCAACTAATATATATAATATAAAAGTCAGCCGGGCATGGTGGCTCGTGCCTGTAGTCCCAGCTACTCGGGAGGCTGGGGCAGGAGGATCGCTTGAGCCCAGGAGTTTGAGGTTGCTGTGAGCTAGGCTGACGCCACGGCACTCACTCTAGCCTAGGCAAGAAAGCGAGAAAAAAAAAAAAAGAGATAGTGCTCTTGTAAGAAAACCTGCCCAGTATGAAGCTCATTTCCTTAGACCTGAGTTTCTTGCAGGGAGGTGAGGAGGAGATAGAGAGAATAGCTCCTGGACAGTGGAGTGAACTGCTGCATGACTTCCCATTGAGGGGAGATGCCTCACACTGCCCTGCTGGTGTGGTGTATTTCATGTCCTACATCCTTCTAAGTGAATCTGATGCCAGGTACAGCCTAAGGTGTTAATAGTTCTGTGTTGAATGTTTAGTTTATCCTTGAGACGACTACCCTAGTAGATACTGTAACACATATTAATAGGAATAATTCGATTTTGTTTAAGGTCTTGGCTAATGATGTTTTGAGGTGCTGCAAGAAAACCCAATATAGTATTTAGTGACTCTTCTCTTAGGGGATAACATTGGCCTAAAACTTTGAGAATATAGCCTACTTTGAAAGTGGCGAGAAGGTGGGCATATAGAATAGAGAGTCAGGGGTGGGATAAAGGAAAAAGAAGAGCAGGAAATGTGGTGCAGGTAAAACTGTGAGAAGCCTAGAATATTCTATCATGTGATTTAAATTTTCTATTATTGGTAAAGTGGAGCCCCCAAATGTTTTGAAGCAGGATAAAATATATACTTGGTGTTAGAGAAAATTTAGCAACATTTGAAGATTTAGTTATAGGTGATATGCTTACTGAAATTATGTATTTCAACCCCCCCTCCCCCTTTTTGAGACAGATTCTCATTCTGTCACCTGGGCTAGAGTGATGTAGTGGTGCAATCATAACTCACTGCAACCTCAAACTCCTAGGCTCAAGCAATCCTCCCATCTCAGCCTCCAGGATAGCTAGAACTACAGATGCATGCTATGGTATCGTGCCTGGCTAATTTTTAATATATGTTTTTGTAGAGATGAGGTCTCACTATGTTGTTTAGGCTGGTTTTGAACTTGTGGCCTCAAGTGATCCTCCTGCCTCAACCTCCCAAAGTGCTGGGATTACAGGCATGAGCTACTGTGCCCTGCCAGCCATTTTATTGAAATGGAGAAATTCTGTTGTATAACAAAGTATGTGTGTGTGTGTATGTGTATATGGCAATGCCAAACCTGTCTTCATGGGTTAGCATTATAGAAATGAGCACATATTTTCCAATAGAAACAATGTTTTAAGTGGTAGTTCTAACACTCCTTCAGTAAAACCTAGTTAATAGATGAAATGTGTAAAGAACAGAGCATTGTTCTGTTTCCCTTGCCTGCTGGTATTGCTGCATGGGTGAGAGAATCTCTGCCTTGTCTCTTGTGGTGTTTCTCAAAGTGTGGGGCTTAAACAACCTGCTTCAGAACCACCAGGAGTGACTGATAGCAATGCAGAGCTCCACTTCAGACCCACTGAATCTGTCATTGGTGCCTGGAACTGGCATTTTAACAAGCATCCCAGGTGATGATTATAAGTGTGCTGTAGTTTGTAACTTACTGCTCTAGGATGGGATTTTCCCAACTTAGGTGAACATACTGCAAGCTAGTTCAGGAACTACAGCAAACAATGCTAGAACTTATTTTTTTTAGATTTATTTTTATCTCATTTAAAAATTTTCTGTTTTAATATATTTTGTAGTTTATATAATATATTAAAACAATAATACATGAATATGTTTATTACAAATATACGTTAAGGGCTCATGCTCATTTTTTTTAACTGGTGGAGTACAATGCAGACAAAACAAAACACCCCCAAAAACAAGCCTGGAGATTGTTACTCCAGGAAATTCATTTTCCAGTTCTGTTGTACTAGGGAACAAAGGACATATAAATATACACATAAATCATTGTCTTTTCTATTACTTAGTCGTATGTATGTGGACCTTTGTAAGTTGAACTCTGCTTAAAAACAGTGAGATTTTGTAAGCTTTAAGCCAATTTTCAAAGTAATCATATCTCTGCAATCCATATAAATGTAAAATGTGCCCCATTTCAGTAAAATCTCATAATGATCCATCCATTTAAAACATTTTTCTAACTGCTGTTTTCCCTACAATGCTGACAGTATCCTGTTTTGGGATAAGCAAATGTAAAATGCTGAGAGTTTTAAACTGAAAGATAGACGTCACTTGGGTAAAGAAGTAATTCATAATTAGGAAACCTACCAATTTCAATAATTAATGATGTAGAGACCCTGTTATCACATGACCTGTTATTTAAACAATTTAGGAATACTCTAGGTTGCATAATACTGTGGAGTCTTGTACTAAGCATGAACTCCCTTAGAGTAGCACTGCAAAATTATAACAGAACCATGCAATTGAACTCTAAAATGATAATGGACTTCTGCTTTCATGAAGGTTAAGTTCATGCTTAGTTCACGGCTCTATGGTGATTTAGAGTTTAAAAACACTTTTCTTCCAACTTGTCTCTCAGGCTCATTGGGACTGTGGTCTCTTTTTCATCACTGCCACTCAATTAATACAGGATTTTTAGCTTCTTCAGTGCATTACTTGTCATTTTTGGTAGTTTTCTTGATCGTTTTCTTTTTGACACTTTTTTTTTTTTTTTTGAGACAGAGTCTCGCTTTGTTGCCCAGGCTAGAGTGAGTGCTATGGCGTCAGCCTAGCTCACAGCAACCTCAAACTCCTGGCTCAAGCAATCCTCCTGCCTCAGCCTCCCAAGTAGCTGGGACAACAGGCATTCGCCACCATGCCTGGCTAATTTTTTGTATATATATTAGTTGGCCAATTAATTTCTTTCTATTTATAGTAGAGACGGGGTCTCGCTCTTGCTCAGGCTGGTTTCGAACTCCTGACCTCGAGCAATCCGCCCGCCTCGGCCTCCCAGAGAGCTAGGATTACAGGCGTGAGCCACCGCGCCCGGCCTTTTTGACACTTTTGTAGCTCCTGACAGTTATCATTTCTTTCTTCTTGACACTCTTTTCTGTTGGCATTCATTGTGTAAAATTCTTCTTGTTTTCTGCTTTATAACAAGCCATGGTGTAATAGTATTTGCTGAATGAATAACCAGGAGTCCTAACATAATTTTTTGAATAGTCTATTTTTTCTTCCATTGTTTCAATATATACTAAAACCTATCAATAAATTGAACTATTTGTAATTTTGTCCATTCTTCTACTAATCTATTTATCTATTCCTATACTAGTTGGAATTATTGTGGCTTTATAATAGATTGTAAATGTTCATAGAACAAGATTCCCCTTCTGGCCTTCTTTTTCAAGACTTTTTGCCTCTGTGTGTATCTCTTTTTCTAGATGAACTTTAGATATGATTTGTCAAATTATCTTAATCCTATTGGGACTGGCATTGAAATTGCAGTGACATTTTAGATTAATTTGGGGAATAATAACTCTTTGCAATAACGAGTCTTTCTATGCAGGAACATATTGAGATATTCCATTTATTCAGGTCTTGCATATGTGTGTCTTTGCATGAAATTTTATGATTTTCTTTGTATCTTCATTATAGGGCTTATATATTTTTTTGTTACTTTGTTCCTAGGTTTAATAGTTTCCTAAAACAAATAATTGTGAATGGGATTGTTTTTCATACATTTGCTAAATGTGTTGATGTATAGGAAAATTATTGATTTTTGAATATTTATCTTGAATTTAGCCACCTAGTTTTCCAGTTGGTTATCTTGGATTTTTCTAGATAAGTGTCATATCCTGTGCAAACAATGACAGGTTTATAGCCCTCATTTTCTTTTTTGTCTCACTGCATTGTCTAGTTCTTACAGAACAATATAGAATGGCAGCAGTGAGGTGGCAAGAGACCCTGTTATCACATGACTTCTTATTTAAACAATTTAGGAATACTATAGGTCACATAATACTGTGGAGTCTTGTACTAAGCATGAACCCTCTTAGAGTAGCACTGCAGAATTATAATGGAACCATGCAATGGAACTCTAAAATGATAATGGACTTCACTTCATGCTTAGTTCTTGTTCTGTTCCTGATTTTGATGTGAATGCTTCTGGTATTCAGTGTTCAGAGTCTTGTTCGTGGTATTTTTCTGGTGGATGTCCTTTATTGTGTTGAGGAAATGCTTTTCTGTTCCTACTTTTACTAAGAATTTATATCATGAGTGTGTGCTAAATTTCATCAAATATTTTTTGGACAGCTATTGAGGTGATATTATTATTTTTATAGATTTATGAATGGTGAATGATCCTCACATTTCTGGGATAAACCTTACTTGGTCATGTTTTATTATGCTTTTAATACACAACTGATTTGATTGGCTAATACTTTCTTTAAGCTTTTTACATCTATATTCATAGGTGATTTTGGTCTCTGGTTATGGATTGTGCATGTGGGTGGGCGCTTGCGTGAACGCACACATGACTAGTTTTGGTTTCTGTATCATGCTAATCTTATAGAATGAAATCTAGAAGAGCTTAAACAAAAAAAGAATGTTTAAACTTAAAACATTTCTTTAAATAGCACAGTAGAACTCGCCTACATAACAGTCTGAATGTCGGATGGAAATATTTAACGAATTAAAAAATTCTTCTATTATTATTACTCACCATGGTTATTACTTATTCTTTGGTCAGTTTTTGTAATTCTATATTTTCTCAGAAATTCATCCATTTCATTTAGATTTTGAGATTTTTTTTGGCTGATTTAAAGTTGTATATAGCATTTTTATATAATTATAAGAATGTCTTTTATATCAGCAGCTATGTCGCCCTTTTAATTTCTAACACTGTTTGTTATGCTTCCTTTTATGGTGTGGTCAGAGTTGCCAAAAACTCAATTGATTTTATTAGCTTTTTACAGGATGGATTTTCCTGATTTTTAGGCTTACTAGTTTGTTATGTTCTACCTTTAATTTTAATCAGTCTTCTTTTTTGGTTTCCAGAGGTACATTTTGTTATTTTAAATGCACCTTGAATGAAATGTTTATTTCAATACTTTGTCTTTTTCTTTTCTTTTCTTTTCTTTAAGAAAATGCTTTTAAGTTGATAAAAAGTTCTTTTGAATAGTACCTTGATTGCATCATGTGTGGGTATTTATTTTTAAAAAATTTTTTTGCACAGCAAAAGAACTTTCATTTTCCGTAGGAATTCAAATTGGTACAGCCACTTTGGAAGACGGATGACAATCTTTTACAAACCAAACATTCTCTTACAATATAATCCAGCAATAGGACCTCTTGGTATTTAATCTAATGAGTTAAGTATTTATGTGCAGAACAAATCTGCACATAAATATCCAGATATAAAAGAAATCATGAGAAAGCAATAAACAAATGATATAAAAATAAGGCAGTTACTGAAAACTATTTTGTAGGAGTTGAGAGATCACATATGAAAACTGGTCAATCTCATGACTGATTAGTAAAAACCAATATAAAATTACATAGTGATTCCATTTCATACACACTACATAGGAAAAAATAATACAGTAGATCATCCTGTTGTCAGTCATAGGGAATAAGTAAATACAACATCACACGTGTTTTGATACCAAGTGTCTTCATTGTTACACATCTTGGAGAAGACTTGTGCTTTTAGTTTTGATTTCCTATTTAACCCAAGGGTTATTAAAAATAGTAGTTTATAAGAATCTAGTTGTACTATTTTCCCCCTAGCTTTTTTTCATTTTTTAGTTTTTTTACATTTTGGACAGATAATATAATCTGTTTACTGTGTAGTTATTTTCTTTTCGAAATTATTGTGGTCTAATATTTGTCCTGTGTTTGAGACAAAGGTTCATTTGTGTTATATGAAATGTTTTAATTATTTTTAAAACTAGCATAGTGCTCTAAAAAGATGTATGTTCCATAATTTATTTACTCATTCTACAATTTTTTTTTTTTTTTGGCCACCATAAAAAAAAGTTGCTGTAAACATTCCTGTACATATTTTTGGTAGGATAAATTCCTAGAATGAACATATACACAAATACATGCACACTTGGAATAATTCTATACATTCACAGATTTGATTTTATATAGAATAAATAGCAATAATAAGTAATAAAATAATCATATATACTTAATTTGTTTATGTCACTATTATTTGGAGTTTTCATTTGTTAGTCAAATGCAATCTGAATTGATCATGTGTCAAATGCCATTATCATCAAAATGCTTTTTTCTGTCCTCTATTCACCCTTTTCCCCCAGTTTCAGTTAGTTTATTCTAGGATTTTAGATGCAGGTGGTGGTTAATAGCCTGTAGATTTTTGAAAATATGTATTCTCTTTCAAGGGTTATATTTGACATTTTTAATATTGTGACCATATTAACAGTAATTATTTTGACTTATTGTTTAACTCATCTTTTGCGTACCACCAGTTCTCTTACCATAAATTCTCCATTTCTAATCCTTTTTTGATTCATCTCTTGGCTGACTACATTATTTCTTTAACTTTTTTCAAGAAGGCGATGTGCCCTTGGATATAACTTTATGTTACTTTAGCTATGAATGACATCTCTGTTGATATTTAATTATTTTTTATTACCTTAAGAAATTTTATTTCCATGCCGTGTTCATCTCTCAATTCCTTTTTTTTCCCTGAGGAAGTAATTCTTCTTTGTGATTTTTTAAAAAAATTTTTAAAAAATCATTTTAGGTCGAATTTACAAGCACTCTCAGCAACCTTTGATTACATACGAAAAACATGATGTGACAGACCATCCAAAGAACGTAGGAGGATCCCATTCTCCGCTCCTTCTGAAGGCTCATGGTAAGTTACGTGCGTAGTACTATTACTACCATGTGGTATAAACTTACTTGAGGACTTGGTGCTGGCTATATGGTAGTGGGCATAATTTAGGAAATTTTCATAAGTATTTTATGTTTAAACATTAACATTTGCAGGTAGCATCATCTATCTTAATGTTTGCTAATTTTTATTAAAAATGGAGAGTCGGGCTAATTCAGTGGCTTTAACTCTGCACATTAAAATCACCAATGAACATTTTAAGAGATCTATGGTTTTAAAAAAGTATTCTAGTTGTTTCTAACTGCATCCAGCATTGAGTATCCCTGGGTTAGTTAATTTAACTTTTATGAGACTTTAATTTTTACCATTTATTAAAATAAATGATACTAAGAAAGAGTGATCTACAACTTTGATTGTTTACTTATAACAGTAGTATGGTTCCAAGGATACAGTTTTATTGTTGACCTGATCAATGTCCAAGTATTTGAGGGTATACAAAGTACCCATTGCTATACTTAGGTATCATGTAGCTAAATGAGGAATGGAAGAGCAGTAGCCTAAAATCAAGGCTCTCCTATATTCTGGTTCTACAGATGAAAGTTGATCCCATTTAAAAAATAGCCTGGCTTATTGTTAAAAAGATAGAATTTAAAAGTAGGGGAATAGTGCAGTGTATGTTATACTATTACAAATTATTAGTGTTTTGGGAGAATTTTCCCCATTTGGTATATTCCCTTTATGTTCTCCAGATTTATCCATTGTAGTAGAGTTTCTGTAAATATCACCACAGTTAAGCTTGAAAATAAGTTTATTGTTGTTAACTTGCATCTATTCATGTTGTAGCTCCAGTTTGGCAGTAATTGGATTCAGAAATAATGCACCTATTTTTCACTGTTTTTTGGAGTGAGATGTGAGAAGATTTTGAAATAATTGCAGACAAGCTGTATTAATATAATGGTTAACAGTAGAGTTGCTAGAGCCAGACAGGGCTTGTATTCTGACTTTGTAACCTTGGACAAACTGCTTAACTTCTCTATATTTTAGTTTCCCCTTCCAGCACAACTGGAATAATAATTGTAACTACATCATAGGATTGCTGTAAAGATGAATTAGATAAATACATGTAAAGCACGTAGGGTAGCATGTAATAGGGTTATGAAAGTGTCAATGTTAGTAGTAGTAGTGGTGTAAAGCTATGATGTATAGGGTCTTTTGAGGCTGTGCTTATGTCAGCTGAATGTATTTTGCTGGCTTTTTGTATTTTTCTGAGCATTTGGCCTGGTCATTTAAAACACAGCTTGATTAGTTTGCGATGTCGACCACTGTCTGTTTCTCACCTGCAGGTGCCTTGATGTTTGTGGCATGGATGACGACTGTTAGCATAGGTGTACTGGTTGCCAGGTTCTTCAAACCTGTTTGGTCAAGAGCTTTCTTCCTTGGTGAAGCAGTTTGGTTTCAGGTAGGTGGGGGTGGGGGGAAAAAGTTTAATGCAATTTTTGTATTATTTGAACATTGCAACATGAAGACATATGAAGAGTGTATATGCATGTGTGTGCGTTTTGCGATTACAGTTGTAGGTTTGGGATCCTCTTTTTTCCCTTTAGTTTCCTTAACCACTTGAGAGCAGACATAAGATGCTTATGGAGATCAGAATGCAGACAGATTTATGAAGAGTCAGGCTGAATCGGAGATTGCATCAGGGCCGGGTGTGTCCCTTTGTCACAAAGACTTTGCGACCCGAATGATCCTTGGTTATACATCTCTTTATGGAGAGAGATGTTGGAAGAGTATTTACCCAATGAGCTTAGTAAAGATGGATCAAGGAAGACAGGGTACAGAAGAAAGAGGTGAACCTGCTTAATGGGCCATTGAATGTTGGATTATCCCTCACTCATCAGTCAGGTTCATCTGTCTCCCGTGTGAGTGGGAAGAAAAACTGAACTGAAAATATTTTTCCTTTTTAAAAAATTTTTTTAAATTTGTCTTTAGGAGAAAGTGTTATTCTTTCATGCTGCCCCCTCCCATGGGATGGGAGGCAGTCTCCCAATAGGAACATAAGCAAGAGTCAATAAGTACCCTTCAAAACAGAGCAAAACAAATCTCTTTCATGGGTAATGGAGTATAGACATTTGCACATATAGTGGAAGATCAATGAGTATGCATTGGGTTAGAATGTACATGCCTGCTTGCAGAAAACAGAATTACTTATGGGAACAGTTTTGATTTTGTAAGAGGGTTTCTTTGACACTTCATATAAATTTGTAGCTTTTGAGTTTTACCTTATCTGACCTCATTTCGCACTGTTGTCTGACAAGGACAATCTGTTTTATTTTTCTCCCTACTGCTATGTGCCTTGCACCCGTCTGTCTTTGCCTCTGGTTTTGTATGTGTGCACTTTCTTGCTTGGACTCACTTGTGCTCTCTCTCTCTGTCACTTTTTCTTTCTCTCTCTCATCTGCTCATGTGGAAGACTGGAAGACTTCCCAACTGGAAGACTCTTTGTTTTCTCTTTATCAATTCAAATCCTCCACTGCCTTTAAAATGATGGCATATACACACACACATACATGACAGTTTTATACTTTATATATATATATATATATATATATATGCACACATATATATGTAGGGTGATATATGGTAACTATATATTCTAATTTTTCCAGGATAGTTTTAGTTAACACCAGTTATCCTGGCACAATGCATAAACAGTGCTGATTTTCACACTTAATATTCTCTTGACTTGTATCGTGAATTATACATTTTATATATTTTTCTCTTATCTACTTGGTTACATCTGAAGCTCCTCAGGAGACAGCATTTTTTATTTCCTTGCAGTCTTACTGCACTTGGTATAGCACTGTACTTGGTGGTGGAGCTTAATAAGTATCTTTGGAAGGAAATGAAGGGCTTGCTTGGCAAAGCAGTGTGCTGTGTGTGTGTGTGTGTGTGTGTGTGTGTGTGTGTGTGTGAAATATCCAGTCCTGCTACTCTGTGCCGGTGAAGCCTTGGCAAACACTTTTGAATAGGGTTTTCTTTAAAGTTTAGGGTTATGCTAAGATTTTTTTTTTAACTGATTACAGACTGTGATTAGATGTCGGTTGAGCCAGATGTGATGGTATGCACCTGTAGTCCCAGCTACCTTGAGCCCAGGAGTTTGAGGCCAGCCTGGGCAACATAGTGAAATGCCATTGCTAAAACAAGTGAGCAAACAAACAAACAAAAAATGAATGTGTGCCTCAGTGAATCTTATCACATGATTTTTTTCCCCATTGTAACTCCAACTATTTTCTCTTATGTAGCTGTCTTCTCACTTTATCATTCCAACTTGCAGGTGCATCGGATGCTCATGCTCACTACATCTGCCCTCACCTGCATTGCTTTTGTTATGCCTTTTATATACAGAGGAGGCTGGAGTTCGGTGAGTATAGGATATCTAAACAGGATGTTTTTATAGAAATCCATTGTGATGTCAAAGTGGATTGCTGTTTTATTCTCAGATGACGGGCAAAATATTTCTGCGTGTATTCCTCTTTCTTATTGAATCATCTGATGACTCTTTCTCACATGAGTGGAAGTCAGGGCTAGGGTGAGGATGGACGTGCAGATTACTTAGTAATGAAATGTGTTTTTAGGCTGCATCGAATGTTGTAGGCACACTATAGCTTTAGTGAGCTTTTCCCTCTATAGAGTGGTGAAAATTCAGCGTGGTATCTAAGGAACATAAACAAATGTAAGTGGTTTTCTCTAACTAGCAGTATGATTGCCACTAAGCTAACATAAGTTGCATTTCTACTATGTGACCAGCTGTGCTAAGTGCTTTACATGTGTTATTGAATTTAAATCTCAAATAAAGTAGGTGTTGGTAATAATCCCATGTCACAAATGAAGAATCTTAAGCTTATTCCTAAATGCTCGTCTCTCTCCCAGACCTCTCCCCTGGCTTGAGGCTCACACATCTAGCTCAAGCTGCACCCAGGACCCTAACTTGCATGTCTAAGACATCAAACTTAACATGTCCAAAATGGAATTCCTGATCTTTTTTCCCATCCTGCTCCATCTTCCGTGAGTCCCACGCTAGCTGTTGGAATTCCATGGTTAGATCAAAACCTTGGAATTATCCTTAACTGTGCTCTCTTGCATATCCCATGGCAGATCCACTGGAAGATCCTGTTGAGCTCTTCATTGGCTCTACATCCACAGTCCACCACGTCTCACTGCCATCACCGACACTACCACGTGGGCTTGAACCACCATCATGTTTTGCCTGGACGTTGCAGTAGCCACCTAACTGGCCTTTCCACTTCAGCCCTCGCTCACATACAATCTGTTTTCAATAAAGAAAGCAGAGTGATTTTTTAAAAAAATGTAAATCAGATCATGTAATTCCTGTGCCTCTTAATTTTACTCAGAGTAAAAGCCAAAGTTCTTCCAGTGACCTCCATGGTTGAGCTCCCAGTCATTCTCTCAGTGGCCTCCTCCCCACCTCCATCTAGTGCGTCTCCTTCCTCACTGGCCTTGTGCTGCTCTGCAAACCTGCCAGGCATGCCCCTTCTTTGTCTTCTTGGCAAAGAGTCTTCCTTCTGCCTGGCACATGCTTCCTTCTCTCTCTCACCTTCTTCAAGTCTTTACTCAAATCAGAGCCTTTTAGGGGGCCACGCCCTACTTATTTTTTTTCATGGCATTCTTTACCTTATGCCATTTCATGTATTTTACTTACTATATTTTTTCTTTGTCTTCCCACACTAGCATGGTCAGCTCTTTGAGAGCTAGGATATCTTGGAGATATCTAGGAGAGCTTGGTATGTTCACGAGTGTATCTCAAGTACCCAGAACAATTTCCAGTATACATAGTAGGGACTCAGTAAATATTTAGTGAATAAGTGAACAGGGCTTATTGAGAATAAGTGCTATACCTAAATTTAGAGCCTCTACTTCTCAGACACTCTTCCAGTTTTATAGCTAGTCAGAATTTGATATCTAAATTGGACAGTTAAGAGTTTGGGCTGGTGCCACAAGGAATAAGATTGATGAGTCTTGGCTCACAGATATTACTAGGGAACCTCCCTCCTGCTTTTTATTTTTTATTTTTTAAAAAAAGAATCTTAAGGATAATCAACCTCCTACTTTTCAGGTAGTTCATGCATCAGTTAACCTTATTTTAAAGGAAATTATGAAGATTTTATGACATGACATGAGACATCAGAACCTTATTTTTACCCAGGTATTTGGGGCAAGGGTAACACTTATTTTGTAATTTTGTAGTTTATAGTCTTTGCAGTTTATGAATAGGATAGTATAAAGGTTAAGAACAGTGTTCAACAGCTGGGCTACTTAGATTCAAATCCTGGGACACCTTGGACAAGTTGCTTAACTTCTCTGTCCTCAGATTACTCACCTGGAAACTGGGGATAGTGTGGTATCTATCTCACAGGCCTATGTGAAGATTGGGAGTTAGTTAACTGAAAGTATTTAGGACGGTACCCAGTACATTCTAAGCACATGCAAGAATTTTGTTGTTGTTGCTGTTTTGTTTTTTTATTAGCTAGGAGCCCTTTATGACTCCACAGTCATGGTTATAATTTTATCCATGTATAACTGAGTTCCTGATTTGAGAGTGTTTTTTATATCGCCCTTTTGTCAGCCTTAGGTTCCTATTTACAAAGACTTCCTATCATGGCTTAGAAACCATTATGTCCCCGTTTCTAAGTCACGGACTTATAGCCTACCTGAGGATGAGGGTCAACGTAATAGACTGTAGTATCCTTCCATCCAAACATGTCACGGGTTAGAGCATCTTCTTTGCCCTTATCTTAAGTGTTTAAGTGACATCATTATACAAAGTGGTCTCATCCAACTGTCTGCTCTTTTGAGCAGGCACACAGCATCACTAAGGGAGGAGTGTAGCAGGAACTGTTGAGATACTACGTCGATGTTTTTTCTTGGGTTAGATCTTCATTCTGAACAGAGGAGATAATCTTTTAATACAGTGGCTATACAGGTTATTCACTGAATCAACAAACATTTATTGAGTGACTAAGACTCTGTTAAGCTCCAGGGTTCCAGGGAATCATATAGATCCCACAGCTTAGGGAAACCCAGAGGTCTAAACAAATCATTATAATATATTGGAATGATTGCTCTTGACATGTGGATACTAACTAGCCCCAGCTGGGCTGCGAATGATTGTGCTGGCGTTGTTGGTACTCACCTAACATCCTGATGGGGGAGAGAAGCATTCTGTACATAAACTCTACTGCAACCATTTACATACCTTGTGGTCTTGGATACAGCACTTGATATCTCTGAGCCTCAGTTTCCTGATTGGGAAAATTGGGATATTGACAACCAATAGTCAAGCATTGTAGTGAGAATTAGTGTGTGTAAAGAACATGCCTGGCATAAATTATATACTCAGTAAATGTTGTCTATTGTCATCATCATCGTTATTGAATGTTTAAAGCCATGGAAAAATACTAAGAATACATCTGTGTGTGCTATTTTTAACTTGAGGATTTAAATTGATGAGAGAGATTGAGACCATTAAGACAAGATGACTTTGTTTAGCATGCAGGTTACCACCCGTATCTCGGCTGCATAGTGATGACTTTAGCAATTCTTCAGCCTCTTCTGGCAGCCTTCAGGCCACCTTTACATGACCCAAGGTACTTCCAGCTTTTATATATAAATGCTTTCTTAATGTGGATATCCTGAGTTGGCAAATCCCTTTTCAAGCGGAAACATTTTGCATTTTATAAAATTCAGTGATAAACTGTAGTTGCTTTGAAAGCCTTTAACATGTATTTCAGATATCTAATTCCCAGGCAATAAGGGAAATTGCATGCTTTTTATTCTCTTGGGAATTAATTGTAGTTCCATTGCTTTTAAGACTACTGACTGGTTCTTTATTTTGGTAGAAGACAAATGTTTAACTGGACTCATTGGAGTATAGGAACAGCTGCTAGAATAATAGCAGGTAAGTAATTTTGATGCCTCTTATTCATATATAATTGCTGGTTGTTTATACAGCAAGTTGTAATTCGGCTTAAATGATTTTTAGATGCATTAGTAATTGGAGTAATTGGTTGTTGAGGAGAAATCAGCCTTAAACATTGAAATCCAGAAAGTAATTTCTAGACATAACTATTTAAGTCATTATTTCAGTTTTAAGTTTAAGGTATTTAAAATGACTTTAAACTCTCCTTTTAAGAATTTTTGTTTAGCATTTGCCTTTCCCAGCAGAGTAAGCTATACTGATGGCCAAACATTTGAGTGACTCAAGTTTAGGGTCATTTGTGAGTTGTGTTGGGGGGACTCTTGGGTCCAAGCCCTCTGTCTCTAGGTCCTTTCCATGGGGCTTGTATCTTCCAGAGCAGGGTGGTTTTCAAAAGTCACGTATGATTATCCAACACATTTTGATGCCTTATGTAATAAATACCTAAGTAGGCACCTCCTAGCCTAACATTGCTGTAGTCTATGGGAATCTTTGTGAAAGAGGGAGTATAATCTGCGATGGTTTCCAAACTTTTCTCCCTTTCTACTTTGCAGTTTTAAAGCTTTCTGGAAAGTTTAGGTGCCTCTTTATTTCACAATTGGTAGATCATAATTATAATTTCCCATCTTGTTCTATCTAGCTTCACAATAAAAAAGACTAAATTAACTATTTGGTCTTAAACATTAATCTTACTTATCTCATAAATTTTTTGTTGATATAATACACAAGCAAGCACGCACATAATTATGCCCCTTGGTGGGGACTACATTTGAAGATGTGTTTTTTTTCTCTTAACATTAGTGGCAGCAATATTCCTGGGAATGGATTTACCAGGACTGAATCTTCCTTATCCATGGAAAACGTATGCGATGATCGGATTTGTAGCCTTGCACGTCGGGACTGAGATTGTTCTGGAGATACATGCTTATCGACTCTCTCGAAAAGGTAACCTGCTCAAAAAGGCATGTTATGTAGAATCATGTTGATGCAAACTGTTGGAAAATAATTAGTTTCTGGATACTAATGGTTGACCATTCCATGGTAGCTCATTAAAAATTTCTGTTATGATTATTCAGCTGATGGTAGAAATCTTCTGCTTTTGTTTTTTTACATAGCTTAGTATTAGAATTTGTGATTAAAATATAAAGGAAGTATTTTTTTTTAGGTTTTAGAGGAGAAGTCTTTTTTTAGTTTGTATACTGGTCTGCCTTGGAGCCCATACAGATTGGGAACTCTGAAAGCCCAGGGCTAAGGGAACCCTGAGATGAAGGAAGAAGAGACTCAAAGTTGTTACAACACAGGGCAGAGCTGCGGACAATTTTTACCTATTTCTCAAACTTGCTGTGTGCTATCACTTAGGTTGCCATGTGCATAAATATCCCTAGCCAGGGAGCAAGCTAGATAGGAAGGACTTACATTGTGCTTTCTAGTGGCAAGGTCTGTTTTGGTCTTAGAGCCAGGCAGCTCAAGATACGTCCAGCCACCCTTAGCAGTGGAGAAATTAGTAGAGAATGGTGACATTTTAAACTTAGCTAAGTGTTGTTGTCTGTGTCCTATCTGGTTTTCAGCCCTCAAAATAAGTGAGGGTGGCCTTCTGAACAAACAGCTGTTTGTTGTCTAGTGTGTATGTTGTGAGCCTAGGAGCCTGAATGGCTTTTAGGAGCTGAGTAGTAAGTATCTGTCCCCACACTTTTGGTTCTTGAAGGTTATATACACAGGGCTTTTGATGACTACTGAATTTTGGCTTACTGTTTAAAATGCGTATGTTCTTAAAACTTGGATTGTTATCATATGTTAATTAGCTTGATTTGGCCATTTTACAATGTACATAAATATCAAAACATTATGTTATACATCATAAATATCTAAAATGTTAATTTGTCAATTAAAAAAAACCCAGAAAACTTATATTGTGAGGACTTGGAGGTGGTGTTTGTTGATTAAAAGAGGGCCTATCTAAGTTGTTTGACAAATACAGCCAGCTTGTCCCAATTTGTGAGAGTGTTAAGTATTTAGGAAGTTTACGGCATTTAGTAGCTTGAAATGGGAGAATTTACACCTTGAAAACTGATGAACACTGCAAATCAGGTTTTTTTTTTTTAAAGTTAGTTTACCTGCAGAACAGTGTTCTTATAAACTTATGTTATTATTCTTGACAGTTGAAATATTGGATGATGTTAGAATTCAGATCCTTGAGTCATTTACTGTAGCTGAAGCAGAGGTAAGTCATTCTCTTCTTTATGGACATAACCTTCAGGTGGTACTTTTTCTCATATCTCAAATTTTTCTTTCAGGGTCATGCATTTAAAAAGGCAGTCCTGGCAGTTTATGTATGTGGGAATGTGACTTTTCTCATCATATTCTTATCTGCAATCAACCATCAATGAGCAAGGAGAGACCTTGGGTTTTGTGGGCCAGGTGATAATTATCATCAAGTCAAAGAAACCTGAAGCCTGTGCTGACTCCCTGGAGCATATCTGTGACTTCTAATTTGGAAGACCAGGGCCATGTCTACAGAGGAATTCTGAAGTCTAATCGTTAGAGATCAACATTTAAGAGGGTCTTAGAGATGAGTAGCTGATGTCAGACTCTTATGCTAATTCTGGACTTTAAAGGGAAGGTTGTACTTGAGGAGAAAAGACTCTTCAATATTCCATGCCAAGATTTTAAGAATGTTAGTATTTAAGAAAATAAACAAGAACAATTTGGAAAAACAAAACACATTACCAGGATAAAAAGATTATATTACAGTATACATATTTTGGACGACAAAGGTGCTGTGATACCTTTAAGAAAACATTTATTTTTACTAGTTTATCTGAATGGTCTTTGGACTTTTTAAATAGAAACGAGATTTTTCAGTCCAGTTTCGTACATGTTCTTTGCTCTGTTTATTTTGTTACTTCTCTGGTAAAGGTTGAAGTGGGGCTGACACAATTGTGGGTTTTATTGACATTTGAATGTATTATAAATATCATAATTTCTTTCTTAGAAATGAAATGCAAGTATGTATCTTCTGATTAAAGGGCTTCTTTATATTTGCAGCTACAAAGCTAACGTGCCATTTTATGTTAATTGTTTTGACCATAAAATTTAAGTCCTTATAGCATTTGTAGAATTGCATTTCAAAATTGATAAAACTCACCCTTGTGAATATATCTAACAATTGTTCTCTTTTTTTGTAAAAGTAATATGGGTGGTTCTGTTTTGTTAGACATTCCTGATGCTCTAATGCATCAGAATAGTTAGTGTATTTTCCTTATTCCATTAATTTATCTTCTATTTTATGGCTCCGTCTCATATTTGCTATGAGGACTTCTAGCCAGTGGGTGGTGCTGTAATACTGAGGTATTTACTGCTTTGCTCCTGTTTCCTTTGCACTGATTCATTTTTAGTGTTTAGATAACATCATGGGATGGTGCTTCCCTTAAATTCTACCAACTCTTCTTAATCTTTATTTGAAAAATTTTTGTATTTTTTTATTGGGTCAGGGTTACGGGTTAGAAACTCAAATTAGGGATTGCTGTTGTTTTCTAGTTTCATTTCTGCTTGTTTTCTAACCATGATTATTTGTACCAATTGTTTGATATTTCCTTTTACATTCCCTGGACCTTGTAACAAATGAATACAATTGTCTTAGGCAAAGGAAACAAGCAAAACTGGACATTTTAAAAATAAAAAATGTTAAGGGAGTCATACTTGATTTCCTTAGGTATTCTTTCTGATTATATTATAGTTTCTGCTTGGCCCAATAATCTAATTTCTATATGATATAAATAATAGCCTCAGCTGTGTATCCTACATTTTTTACTGGGTAAAATGATGTGGAAGTTTTATTTTTATTTCTTATTTAGTTTTACCATAAGTAGCTTAGGTCTTAGATATGAACTTTCTATGTTCATATTCTATAGGTGCCATAGTATTTATAGTCTAAACTTTCCTTTTAAATGTCTTCATTTTTTTAAAAAAACATTTAGTATAGAAAATTAAATATATACCTAAATATTTTCCTCCAGTTTTCTGTTATAAGAGGCTTAAATGTTAATAAATTTCTCCTAATAAATTATATTCTGTATCTGACAAGGAAAAATTCTTTTAAGGGAAAAATGAGCCTTGATGTATTTGGTTTTCAAATATGTGAGCTTCCTGGATTTCCAGTGTTGAGGCTAAAATATTTTAACTTTTTCTTTTTTACCAATGCATATGTTGGCACTATTTTGACACTTACTCAACTGACATACAGAATTGTGCACAGAAACCTTTGTCATTTAATCTTAATAGACCAAATCTTTTCATTAAATCCACCAAATTATGATTCTTCTGCTATGGGTGGTTGGTGTCCACAAACTGCAATTGCCTGTTCTTCACTCCTTTTAGTTTTTCTTCTTTCTGTAATAAGCAATCTGGGTAGCTTTTAAAATATTATTGCTTTTGATAGAAGTGATTGTTAAACTATATGCCTTATCTTTAGCAATGTTGCCCCAGACAGTGAGAAAATCATAAAGATTTTTCTTAAAGAAGGGATACTCTGCAAAATAAAGATAAGTATTTTTTGGAAAAAATGAAATAAATTCTCAAAAGTTACAGTTGGGGCAGCATTCATACCTGAGGCTATTTTTGTTTTTATTATTTTCTGGTCTGTGGAAATCAGTCTTAAGGGCAAGGTAGTCTATAGCATGAGTTATCAAATAAATGAATCAAATTAATTCATTTTAGTGCTTACTTGGTTTTGGTCAGGGGTTTTGGCTAATGTGGGTTAAGTGACACCTCATCTCTTCCACATCCTGCCCTCGTCCAGGATGTAGCAGGAAAAGACAAATGCAGCGGATGCCAACTAGGAAGCTCTGGGCACATGTAGGTTTTGGCTGAAATTAGGTTTATTTGTACACTCTGGTGAGGCAGGTTGAAAAAAAAGAACAAAGGTCCTTGTATAGGTGGGAATGAAAGAAAAGATTCTTCTAAGCTTTTTTTTTTTTTAAATTGGATTAGAATACTGACTGTTTCTTTCCACATCCTGCTTCTTTCTTCCTTACCCAGCCTCCACCAAGCTTGTCTCTGCACCCAGGTCACTGGTGGTCACCAGCCGGGAATGCCCTTTCTGTTCTTCTCTTCCTAACAATAGCTAGTTTGTCAAGTTCTAGCTCAAGTTCTTTTTTCTCTTTGGAGCCTTCCCTGACTCTATCCAACGTATATCTCTCCTTGTCCTGACCGTATTTATAAATTGGACGGGAGGCAGCTGATCCTGTAAATAAAGAAGGACGGGGAGTTGGAAGACTTGAATATGCATGTTTGCTTGTTGGCTTATAAGCCACATGTCCTTGGGCAAGTCGCTTGTCTTCTCTGGGTCCCATTCCTTCACCTGTAAAGCCCATCTCACAGGGTAGCTGTGAAGATTGAATGAAGTGATGCCAGCAAAAAGTGCTTGCTTTGTACATGTCATTGGTGATGTCTTTGCCATCTGATTACAGTGATAAACTTGAATCATTTTTGCATGTAAAATATGTATTTTTCATTTTATAAAAAAATTTGATGTTCATATTGAAAACATCATGCTAAATAAAATTAACCAGACACAAAAGGACAACTATTCTATGATTCCACTTATATGTGGTACCTGAAGTAGTCAAATTTAGAGAGACAGAAAGTAGAATGGTGGTTACCAGGGGCTAGGAGGAGAAGGAATGGGAAGTTAGTGTTTAATGGGATCAGAGTTTCAGTTAGGGAAGATGAAAATGTTCTGGAGATGGATGGTGTGCAAACTAAATGTCTCATCTGGTGAATGGGTAAACAAAATCTATATTCATACACTGAAATACTATTTGGCAATAAAAAGGAATGAAGTCCTGAAATGTGCTACAACATGGATGAATCTTGAGAAATTTATGCTAACTGAAAGAAGACAGCCACAAAAGCCCCATGTGTATGATGGCTTGTCAACTCTGTAAATATAGTCCGCATTTATCCATGGGGAATACATTCCTAAACCTCCAGTGGATGCCTGAAACTGTGGAAAGTACCAAACCCTATGTATAATATGGGTTTTCCTATAAATACATACCTATGATAAAGTTTAATTTATAAATTAGGCACAGTAAGAGATTAAGCAAAATACTTAATAATAAAATGGAACATTTATAACAATATGCCAGCATCACTACTCTTGGGGGGCATTATTAAGTAAAATAAGGGTTACTTGAAAACAAACCCTGGGATACAGCCACAGTCAATCTGACAACTGAGATGGCTGTTAGGTGACTACCAGGCAGGTAGTGTACACAGCATGGATACACTGCACAAGGGTGATTCACATTCCAGGTGGCATAGAGTGGGATGTCACAAGTTTTTATCATGCTACTCAGAATGATGTGCAATTTAGAACTTATGAATTGTTTATTTCTGGAATTTTCCATTTACTATTTTTGGACCACAGTTGACTATGGGCAAATGAAACTGCAGAAAGCAAAACCACAGGTAAGGGGGGGAGGTACTCTAAATGCTATTGGACTCTATGGTATGTATATTCAATAAAGAGTTTTTTAAAGAATTAAAGGGAGATGCAAGGGGTGTCCCTCCATGGCTTCCACAGGCAGATCTAGCCACCACCGTCGTGTTCTGGGTCATGCTCTATTTCTTAGTGCTGGTCTAACGACCTTGAGAGAGCAAGACCACATTTTAGCTATATCTCACTTTGGTATATCCTACACTGTCTAATTCTGTAGTAACTAGGTGGCCTTGAATTGGTTACTCACAAACTCACTCAACACACAGTTATTGAGCACATACCCTGTGATAGATACTGTTCTGGGCACTGAGATTGGATAAAAAGATCTCACAGATGTTAACCCTGCTCTCCAGGTGCTCTTAGCCTAGAATCACAGAGAACATATTAATATGTTTAAATCATAATAGTAAGAGACAAGCAAGAAGAGACTGGGGGCCCATTCTCACTCTTCTCAAACAGAATAATGCCCAGCCTAGAATCTTGTACCCTGCAAAACTAAGTTTCCTATATGAAGGAGAAATAAAGACCTCAGTCAAGCTAAGACTAAGGGAATTCATCAAGATAAGGCCTGCCCTCCAGGAAGTACTCAAAATAGTGTTACACATGGATCAGCACAATAAATACTCAAGAATGTAAAATCATCCAAAAGCTAAAGGTCAAAGGCCAGATACTACAATGAGTCAAGAGAGAAAACAAATCAACAGATTTCAATTCAACAAGATAAACAGAAATCTGCCCCACTTATCAATTCTCTCAATAAATGTGAATGGCTTGAACTGCCCACTTAAGAGACATAGGCTGGGGGAATGGATGAATATGTACAATCTAAGTAGCTGCTGTCTTCAGGAAACACATCTAACTCACAAGGATGTATTCAGACTCAAGGCAAAGGGATGGAAAACAATATTTCAAGCAAACGGAAGCCAAAAGAAAGCTGGATTGGTGATTTTGATTTCAGATAACATAAACCAACAAAAGTAATGAAAGACAAAGAGGGTCACTATATAATGGTGAAGGGTACAATTAAACCAGAAGACATAACATTCTAAACATTTATGCACCTAACTCAGGTGTACCCAGATGCATAAAGCAAATCTTACTTGATCTAAACAAAATGATAAATGGTAACACCATAATTGTTGGACCTTAACACCCCTTTGACAGAACAGGGCAGATCCTCCAAACAGAAAATAAACAAAGAAACAATGGACTTAAACAGAACTCTAGAACAAATGGGCCTGACTGACATTTACAGAACATTCTACCTCCAAAATCACTGGATATACATTTTTCTCAACATCCCATGGGACATTATCTAAGATTGATCATATCCTAGGCCACAAAGCATGTCTCAAAAAATTAAAAAAAAATTATATCACACATCTTCTCAGAGCACAGTGGAATAAAATTAGAAATCAACTCTAACAGAAACTCTCATCTCTACACAAAGCCATGGAAACCAAACAACCTTCTGCTGAATGATTAAGGAGGAAATCAAGATGGAAATCAAAAGATTCTTTGAAATAAATGATAAAGGATACA